TAAGATAAAGGTTAGCTAATTATTCATCATCATCCATGTCTTCGACAAAATGAAATCAGGGAAACCTAATTCTTAAACATTCTTAATCGAATATGCTCTATCTCTTTAGCAGAAAAAAAAGCAATTTCCGTAAAATCCGTTCCCTGGTCATTATTTTCTTTCACTTTAGCATAGGAGCAAAATGGCAAACATTTTTTTTTTCCGACAATCAAATTGCCCGGATTTGAACTCCATCAAAACCCTCTAGGGCGATGTTGAAAAGGCTTTTTAAAAGTTAAGCCAGAAAATTTGCTGAATTTATGGGAAAATATTCTTAAAGACGTGTGTCAGTTCGATGCCACGCCAATGTACTGCTGTTTTAGCCAATAAGGGATATCGCTAGTGTAGAGTAAAAAGTTGTAAGCCCCACTTTTATTATGATAAAAAAAAGTCATCGTTTTTAAAAAGTCGGAATTATTTATTTTATTTCTATCTGTTTCTATTCAGAGAAAAGAAATTTTGCCCGATTCAAAGAAAGCACAGGTAATCCGACAATTTCTAAAGAATATATTTTGCTTTGTATACGCAAAAATGTCCATACACGTATTATGGTTTTGTAAAATATTTGAAGCAAATTAAGTTAGGAAGTTTCTCGACCCTTCTGCAAAATTTGAAAAAAAAACAGGACATGACAAGTTTTCTAAGCTAGCGATGTTAAAAAAATTAAATTAACTTAATCTAGTCATAATAAATCTAGACATAATAAATTTTTATTGGTGTCCAATCTGTTTCCGGCATAAACCACAATCCCGATAAATTTAATAAATCCTACACTATGTACCTACTAGGGATGTTAATGTTTTTTTTGCTTTTTTATTTAAATTTAAAAATATTTCATTAGTAACAAAGCAAGAGATAGTAATTAAATTATTACGCATTTAACAATACTTTCGCGTGTACGTGTCTGATAAAGTAACTTAAGGTATGTCGAAAAATGCTCGATGCAAAAAAAACTTTAGCCAACAAATATATTGTGTGGTTGAAAGAAGTTCATAATACTAGTGGCAGAAATAAAAGAAACGCCTTATTTCAACCTGTTTAGTCTATTTTCTTTTGTTTTTTTCATATTTTTTTTTTATAAAAGACTCATTTTACATATAATTAACCACATAAATGCGCAATTAACAATGCACAATAGTTTTTAAAATACAAAAAAAAAATAAACTAAAATTTCAAACTTTTTACTCAGCATTTTAGAAAATTTTTAGGTACGTAGTTTTATAGCCCATTAAATTATTGTAGGATATAATGCAAGTTTCAAGCAGTTACAATCAGTTACCGTTGATTTTTGGTATTTTTTTACGATGCTGGGCATTTTCTTCCATATAAACAAATTATCGAACATACATACTTTGTATGGAAGAAAATGCGTGACAACACCAGCAAAAAAAATATAATTATATTATTTTTAAGCACTTGAAACTTGCTTTTTATCACCCTGTAATTTAATGGGCTATAAAATTGCGTACTTTGAACTTTTCTAAAAATTCTGAGTGAAAAGTTCGAAACAGGTTCAACCAAAAAATTTCAAAATACACCAAGCAATCAATATACTCACGACCCCATGGGCCAAATATAGTAAAACTGCTTTTTAGTTTTAGAATTTGTTTTAATTAGAAGTTTGTAATTTCAAAGAAATAATAAAATCCAAAAATTATTTCCGATGCCAAAAGAATTATCGAAATCGGTTGACGTGGTCCAAAGTTATACGGTAACATACATAAAAAAAAAATATTCCGACGAACTAATAACCTCCTCCTTTTTTTGGAAGTCGGTTAAAAACTCAGTGCAATGTAGAATAAAAATGGGTACAAAGTGAAAGGGAAAATTCTGTCGGATTTAAGAAAATTAAAATTTTTTGGGCTCACAAGGACGAATAGGTATTGAAAATGCCCAAAAATAACAAAAGGGTTAGAAGGACTATATTCGAGGATGTTGTCAAGTTTATATATAAATAAACAAAATAAATATAGAAAAATCTGGTCTACATTATTGCCACCATTGTAAATCCTGAAAATCCGGAAATTCTTGGCGAAAAATCCCGGGATTTTCGAGTCTTAAAAAAGGCCGAGATCCCGGGACCCCGTGATTAACATCCCTAGTACCTACATGCCACATTTAATTCAGGGACAGAATCGTGGCATTCGTGAACAAATGATTACTCGTTTCGAAACGAATCTAATAAAATAGCAGCTGTTTTCTCCCCAATACAATTTAAATTGACATGGCGCACTCGCTATCGAATGCCGTGATCTCAAAATCAGTTTTCGGTACCATTTTAGATTGAGACACTCGATAGCTACTCTGCCTTTTCAATTTATGTTGTATTGAAAAGAAACGGTTGTCATTTAATTTCATACCATTCGAGACGAGTTTCATTCGAACCCGAATGCCGTGATGCGGGCTCAGGTATTTTAGCTTTTTGATTAATTCATCTGTTTGGTTTTTTTTTTTCTAGGTGGCCACAAAAATTATGAAGCAAATAATCGATAAATTTGCCACCCATGATCTATTTGGACGTGACAATTATGAATATTACGCGAGAGTTACTGGGCGTATTCTTAAGGTACAGGATGAATGGATTTGTAGCTTTCAGTATCCCCCTCCACCACGTGGTAAATTGGCTCAACAAAAATATGCACGTAAGTACAAATGAATATTAATAGCATGTATTTAAAAAGTAAATGGGTTAATCTACATATATAAAACGTGCAAATGCCAGACTTTTTGTCTTTAAATTTTGCTTCGAATGTAACGCGAGTTAACGTTGGAAATACCTCCATGTAGTTTCCTATTTTCTTCCCAGAACATTGGGCCAGTATGTCAAAAATAAATTTGCCTATAATCTTCTTCCGTTTAACTGTTCGATTTACTCAAATCGACATATCTATATATAAATACGTTAAGTTCGACACTAGCTTGCCATATACATATGTATGTAGCAAAGCGTGGTGAGAAGGACGGCTTTACGAGGAAACGGTGTCATTGTTATGAAATAATATGTTACAGAAAAATTGTATCATTTGTAAAACCGATATTAATTTGATTTGTTTAATTTCTTCGCTTTACAGTTCAACACTCTCTGGAGGCAGAGAAGACATGGTTGCAATGCCAATGCGAGCGGTGGGGTTTGCGTAAGTATAATCATGTCTAAATTGTATATGGGTTGTTTATTTAACCAATTTGTGATATATATCTAAATCATTTGCTTCTAAAATCAGTGTAATTGGCAACTAATAACCAAATAACAACAAGTTTTCAATAAGTAGTCGCTACTTAACAGAAGACATAACAGTGACTAACGTTTTTTCATCAACTTCTTTTGTCTCGTTAAACTCTGTCACTATTAAATTGTTCCAGTAACCATTTTACTATTTCATTGTATGTTTTGTTTTATTTCTTTTTGTTGTCCAATTAGTTTAATGTAAACGTATTTAGTCACTAATCTAGCTTATTCGATTGACATCAGAATCATCACACACACCTTCGTTTCACTTTCACATTTCACATTTGTAATCGGGTTTTATTTCCTTTAATCTGCTTTTAATCTTAATATAATACTAAGCTTCAAACTGCTTAGTGATGCAGATTGCTTTCTTATTTATTTTCATATCTAAAGTCGAAAAAGTTTTTAATCATAGTTATAATGAAATGTTGTAAAGAATAATTTAACCAACCACTCAAAAATGAGTAAATCTCTCTTTTCTTTCACTCTGACTCATCTTCTTCCTGTATGTCGTGTTTATGTACATTGGCACTGCCTGTCAATTGTGAATACATATAAATAAAAATCGTCTAAAACTAAACAGTTGCTCAGGAAGAATCCCGCTCTACGCCTGCCTTGCTAACCAGCTCAAGCTCAGCTTTAGACAACAGCGTGCTGTCACTTGGCGTAACACCAGAACACTCTTTTATTGAATCATGTGCACGACTATCTGTCTCCTTGGAAGGCCCAAGTCTATTCGCGTTGACATCTTCTCCGATACCAAAGCGAAATGCTCAGGATTTGCAACGTGACACCGACAATGATGCTGACGCCGATGAAGAGAATTTTGCCGACGAAGATGCTGACGCTGATACCGATGACTACGAAGAAGACTTCGCAGCTAAACTCGAAATAAGTAACGAAGACGTTTTGGAAAATAATTCGAAAAATAACTTTCCACGTACGACTGCTCCAAGCAATTATAGAACTGCAGCGGCATCTACAGGCAATAATCGCGCCTTAACACAGGGTAATGCCGCTATGAATACCACTTATACTATTGGTGTTGAGAATATCGATATAGTTGACTCGAATGATGATGAAGGAGATGATGAAGTGACTGTAGTAAGGCGCCGTTATCGTCAGAATAGAAAGAAAATACTAACCCAAACACGAATGCAACACCAACGTCGCCTGCGTGCCGGCTCAAAAAGTCTGGATGCTGGCGAACGCGCATCACAGAAACCCTTGAATAGCGAGGGATCCGATAGCAGGACTAAATCGAAAAACAACAGCAAAATGCAAAGCAGCATCACCAGTGGCGGCGGTAAAACGACAACAACGCGCACTTGCAGCCGCTGCAATCGCGGTATACGTCATTCATCTTCGTGCTCCTCAGCTTCTGGCGGAGGTGGGGCTGGCGGCGTGGGAAATGGTAGTGGCATGACTATGGAAGAATTGCGCGCTGTAAATCGCTATGCAGAGAGTACAAAGAGCCTTTCCTATTTGCCACAGGTGAGGGATGAATTCATGCTTGCTTCACGGATTTCGGTATAGATACGAACAAATAAATTTTTTTCTCAATTTTAGAGTTATGTATTTATTATTTCTTATTTTGATTTTTGTTGTAAACCCACATACATTTGTATTAAAATACGTATTTTTTTTAATTTTAATTTTAATTTTCCCTTTTCACGTTTCTGCTTTACACACAAGTATACCCTTACTTACAACAAATTAATATTTCAATTGGCTAAATTAATTTCCAGCTAGGTTAGTTGATACTGACAGGCATTTCAAATTAATTAAATAATGTATAGATATGCATACATACCCGCACACCTACAATTGGTGTAATATGAAGTCGCCATTTTTGGAGGATATATTTTTGTGCGCCACCTACATATGTATGTTAATGCATATAACAATAGTTTATCACAAATGCTAAATGCTAGGTTTCGCCACATAGAAATGATTAATTTATACACTCACGCGGTTACGTTTAGCTTGCATAAGTAACATTTCCAATCCTTGCATTGTTCGTATATACTTATGTTTATATGTACATTAGGGTTGTCCCTAAAAAATCAAAAGAAGGATTTTTTTTAGGTCTCACCCTCTCAATCGGTAATACCACTGTCGCAGATAGCACATATAAATTTGGGTCCCGATTGGAGACGGTTAAGGCGTCTCGCACAGGGGGCAAAGTACAGAATCCTCTATAGACTCAAAAAATAAAATACATATTTTTTTCATCTAATACCCAAAATCGATACTACCATAGTCGAATATATCACATATAAATTTTTGTCCCGATTGGAGTCGTTTAAGGCGTGTCCTAAAGGGGTCAAAGACCAGATGCCTCTAATACGGTGCCCGCATGAGGCGATTTTACAGGCAACTTTTAGTTGGAAACAACAATCGCCTGGTGTTAACGGCCTTTCAACTAATCGCTTCCAATAAAGTTGGGGTATAGCCAACTTTTGATTCAACTAATCGCCCCTAAAAATGTCTGTAAAATCGCCTCATGCAAACACCGTATAAGCAGTGTTATCGTTGAGAATTTTCAGAAAGTCGCAAAAAAGGGCTCATTGAGGAAAAAAGGGTAACCATATTATTTTTGCTTTCCTTTACTAGTAAAAGAATAAATCTGAGAACCAAAGCCATAAATAAATTTACATGTATTACAAAGTATTTCGCTGCTAGAACGTTCTGCTGTTGAATTTAAAAAGAAAATAGCGGGACAAGGTTTGCACAGAACAGATTTGCAAACATACACAGAAATTGAGTTGCATTTCCTTAACAAGTTTTAAGTGATTAATTTTTTCGTACGTACAGTAGGAAATATTTTTTAGTAGCATGGCTCTGTTAACAATTCCTAACAAAATCTCTGAGAAGGGACAAAAGTCGCACATAATTTTGGAAAGGGGTCAAAAAATCTAAATTTTCTAAAAGTCGTGTCAAAGTGTATTAGCGCTTAAAAAGAGTCAAATGGCCCCTTTAGTGTTGCAACGGCAACACTGCGTATAAGGATTTAAAAAATTATTATTATTTTTTTTTTCATTTAATGCCCAAATCGAGACTACTAAAGTCGAGGATATCACATATAAATTTTAGTTCCGATTGGAGTCGGTTAAGTCTTCATAGGGTAATCTGAACTTTAACTCCTATGTGACACGCCTTAACCGCCTTCAATCCGGACCAAAATTTGTATGTGACATCTTCGACTATAGTAGCATCGACGTAGGGGTTGAGGCTTAGGAAATCTGATGTAAAAATTTGCTTTCTACATTTAAAGACCACCATAATGTATATACATACATATATACACATAGGTTTATACTCAGCTGACATGTTCTCATCTTCACCTCATTTAAATATACCTACGTTTTGCAGCAATTAACTAAATACATATAGACAATAAGGGAAAATTTCTTGAATATACTATTTCAAAATGTGTCAAGTATGCATTAAATATCCACTGCCAACTCGAGCAAGTCTAAACTAAATGAACATTTAAGTTTTTTTAAACTAAACACAAATCAAGTCGAATGAGCTTCTAGATTAAATCCCGATTTGAAATTTGTTACACAGTGGGTGTCTTATGCATTTTTGCGTAATAAATTATTAATACAGAAGTACTCTTATATCTTTAAGTTTTCTGTTCGACTAATTTTTTTAACCACAATTATAATTATTTGATAATCAGTATAACCTTTTAATCGTTGTATTAGTACATACATATCTGAATCATCTGAAAGACATTTAATAATCTATTTATGTATGCAAATCATAAGCTAACCGCATACCTACACAATTTTGTTTTTGAGAATTGTAAACTTATTTATTTACTTGTGCACAATTGCTTGAAAAATTTGCTAGGATTATAAAACACACATTTCATTTAATTTTGCGAATGTTATTGCTTGGTTGATTACAATTTGTCACAGCAAAATTGGAAAAAGTATGACCTTAACTACTCTATTCCTATTCAACATGCTATATTTATTTACCGAAAATTGTTAACAAAATATAGCTTGATGTACAATGAAATTGAAAAATTTCAATGAACAACAGGAAAGTACAAATAATCATAATAAAAACAAACAAATAATAAATTAATTTTATTCAAACTTTTTGATTTATAATCTTAAATTGATATGGTGGAAACTGAAACTAAAATCTAAAAGTTTTTAATTCGGGACGATACCATAGGTTTTATTGTAGTTTTATAAAATTTCGAATATTTGGTATTGCTTGTATTATACTTTTGGTTATAAGTGCTCGATTTGTAAACACTTTTTATTTTAATCCATTTTTTTTCAAAATTGTTTTCAAATATTCTTTAGTTTTAATTTTGTAAATACATTTATTGTACTTTTAAACTTGTAACTACAAATGTTTGTATACTTTTTGGTAACATTTTAATTGGATTTCCATATATCTGTGTATCGACTTGACTGAATGATGTCAGTAGATTTAGAAATATAAAGCAAAAATTGCATTGCAATGATGAATTCTTTTATTTTATTTTAATATACTTTTTATTTGACCACCCTCTAGTCTAAGTTTGTTTTTAGCATTTTTAATCTACAAAAGTAGCACCATCTAGCCTTATAAAACTCACTTCGATGTTGTTATATTCATGAAAATATTGAATATTGCTCTTATGTTTCTCTCTGTCTAGCATGTTTATCGTAAGTTGTCTTTCGTATTGTTAACGTTTTCGTTTTTGGTACTGTGGGTTTAAATGGCAACCTTTTTATGGAGTTGGAAAGTAGACAAGGATAATTAACTAAAATTACCTCTAAAGTCGGTTTTGCTGAATAATAGTGTGGCCGATCGAAACTTTTTCACATTTAAATTAAAGTGTGGGCAATTTATTGACATCATAAACATTAATTTTAAAGTCAATCCTGGGAACAGAGAAAAATACCTCTATTAAGTATTCAGTGAGTAATCTACCGGCTTTTATGCAGAGCTTAATTTTAAAAGAAAATGAGTTAGGGTCATTCTATATTAAGGTAACGATATGTATTTATACAGCAGACATACATATAAACACAAATCAGGTCATTTTATTTTTGCACTTTCCCTTTCTGGTTGGGAAAGTCTGGACTGCTTCGAGTAGGCAGAAAAAACACGCCAATACGAATTGTTGCTCTATTTTGGATACACGAGGATTCCGCGGTTTCGTGGGAGACTGAGCAGTAAATTTGACCTAAAAAAATATTAGTAAATCAGTGTATTCACATCCATTACATTTCTCCTTTTTTTGCTTAAAATGATAGGCAAGTATTTTCTGATCGGTCAGATATAAGAGCAATTTCGGGAATTGGGAAAATTGGCTACTGTATTTACATTGTTGAATTAGTTACCTGTGAATAACTAATACTCATCACACCTACTCAAAAGTTCAAGGAAGCCTAATACCCTGCAAACATATCTTCCACGAGCACTTTTCCCAGCATATTACCGCTATAAATAAAACTGGTGCATTTTACTACATTAAATATGGTAAATCTAGTCAGTTTCGATATTTCATAGTTCAAAGAAATTTTGGACTGGCCTCGACTCACGTGATGTGAATAAACTTTTTTGATAAGGGTTTTGATTTTCTCAAACGATCTCCAACTGAAAAGCCGATGTTTTTTTTTGCACTAAGCAATGTTTTTTAAAGTCAGCTAAATATATTTCTCTCAACACGTCATCTGGTAACCATATCCAAATAATCTAACTGTAACCAAATCATATGTTCACAGAAACATATTTAATTGATTTAACTAAACTCTTTTCTCAGTGTACTTTTGTAACTACATCTTTTCTTACGTTATGTGACATGTTTCTTTTTATTAATTAGATATATTTTTCTTCAATTCCACCATAATTTATCTTTATAATGTTTTATGACCAAAAAATTGTAGCACATTGCATCCTTAATATTTTATTAATTTATGCTCCCGACCCCGTCGAATTTTCTGTAAATTTGTTCCAATTTATTTAATGAGTAGTTAATTCTATCGCGTATAAAACAATACAACGGAAGGCTAGATGCACTAAATTAAAACCACATAATGGTCTAGCGAACTGCATTTACGAGCACTCTCAACACCAACATCAGGAATCGCTGAGTGCGTACAGATTTGAAGTGAACCACATTTAGTTAGTTTTTTTTTAACTCGGAAGTGCCTCAGAATTGATTAAATTCAAACAAAATTAGAGCAATTCTCTGCAGTAAAGCTTCAATGTATTTTGGCAAATGTTAATTAAAAAGAAATATTTGTTACATTACTCGTATTTAGGCAATCAATTCAACATTATCACTAGCTTAAAGTGTATTTATTCCTGCCGACTGCATTCAAAGCAAGAGTTCTGCTTCTAGGATTTTTCGCTTTTGTATAGTACACAGAGAAATTTTCGTTTTCAAATTTGTATGGAACGTACGCACACTTTCTAATCGTTTTTAAAAACGATCCTAAAATCTTTTTTCTTAATTTTAAAAATATGCGTTTTCAAATATGATACTAAAATTTTATTTTCATTAAATCACAATAAGTCATTTGGTATACATACATTGTTAAAAATATATTTATATATCTTACAAAATTACAAAATTTAATAAACTGTATACAGGTGTTTTACATATCCTATATACATACATACATAAATATGTAATTCATATTACTTACCTTGCTTCCAAGTTGGGCCTGCTAACTTTGCTTCACGCTGGTCAAATCCTGTAATTGAAAACAAGAAAGTTTTAAATTATTATTTAATAAGTCATAAGAAATAGTTTTTGTTAATTATTCTTACCAAAGCTTTTTCGGTCAAAGTCCACCGTATTACCCTTGTCCCTTCTATGTAGTTAGGTGGTTGGAATGGCGGTATTGCTTGTATATACTTCATCGCCTTTTCTGAAGATTGAAGTATCTGAACACAATTTTTTCCACAAATGATGCAAACATATGTTTTTCATTATAGCTAGGTAGCTTTTTAAATTCTGATGCAAAACATTTTAGTTTTAAATATTTTTCATAAATAATTCACTAAAAGTAAATTAACGTTTTTATTTTAAAAGTGTATAGTTTTATTTTACTTGTTGTAAATTGTGTCGCACTACAACTCGTTGGGACAATATTCAAAAATGTTTCATTTCAGTTTTGAAAATACGCATTTTTGGCGTTATTTCTCTAATTTCGTTTGTTTCCCTCAGTGAAAAAAAGTGAATTTATTATAACGATCGTTTTTGTTTTGCGAATGTTTCGTTTTAAAGTCGTAAATACAAATACTGTTTTTTGTATGAAGTAAAACTATATCAAAAAATTTTATTTTACAATTTCTTTTAAAAACTTGCGTTTTACCTGTATCATTTTCTCTGTGTACCGTGTACAGGGTTAAATGCGAAATCCGGTTATAAAAGTTAATGGGGCTATTCATAGTCAACCTAAAGATAACACTAAAGTTTGTTGTAGACTTTTGACATAATTTTGACGGGAATATCTATCAAAAAAGCTGAAACTAACTTTAGAATCGACTTTATTTCGACTATGAATATGAATACTCATAAATAGGCATGAAAACATATACATTTTATTTTTTATTTTTTTCGATGCCCTTATATGTATACTTGTATTTAACTCATAAATAGGCATGAAAACATACATTTTTAAAATTTTTTTTTTCGAGGCAATAGTCAATAAAATTTAAGTTATTAAATTTAATATCACCAACCAATTAAGAGTTCTTAGTTGGTTTTCCCCCTTATGTGCATTTTTTGTATAGCACTTTAATATCTCTTGTAGGCGGCTTTAATATAATTATGTTGAAGCTTTCTCATAATACATACTATGCGCACTTATGGAAATGAGGCTGAGTCTCGTGCAAGTTTCAAAATAAAAATGCTACTTTCACACGTATTTCTACATAACATATGCACAGCACTACTACATGGCTAACACACATCAAGGTACAGCATTTCCTATTTCGCTAACACACCCAGAATTATTGGCAAAAAAGGATTAGGTCAAATTGCGCTATGTACTTTTTTAATTTTGTCCGTTATACTCATTACATACAACTTTTATTTCACATAAAATTTCATACATACAAGAATTTGTTGCTATGTGTAAAATCGCTTTTTTTGCTGCAAATAAAAAACATAAATTAATCATAAGACAATAGAAAAAACAATACCAGTATAAAAAACTAAGCTCGTAATTTTTCTGCCAATTCCACCTTTTTTCTCCCGAAAATCCTTTATTTGTACAACATCTGCGACAACTCTGCTATTTGGAAAATCTGCGGCTTGCAAATGGAAAACTGTCTCACATCATTGATTCCCTTCCCGAATATAAATAAAACAATTTTAATTGTATCTACTCTATGTATATCGCCCACCAACCAACAATCTTCTCAAACACCAACAATTTTCACCAATTGCAACAAAAAATTAAAATAAATATACTTCACGAAACCAATACCACACTTCGATATCGAACCAATTTTTACATGTTTAAAATATATGCCAATTGCACTTTAAAAAATAAAACTTGTTCCATTCGGTGCAATTAAAATAAAATAAATCACAAACGAAAGGTCCATGAACGCCAAACCGCACGCATGCGCACTCGCTCCGAATGGTTTTTGGGCCCTAGGGATAGTGAGTTAGCACTGAATTTGCCCAACACATGCAGCAATTGTTGTCTGGCTGCGGTACAGATGCAGCAGCAGCAACAACACTTACAATCACATGGCTATCTAGGTGGCGGCAGCACCCGTGATATGCGCGCATATCGTGACGGCTTAGCCGATGGAGCTGATGACGAGAATAGTTTGTTAGTGGGCAGCGGTTGCGCACGTAATGGCAATCCGCTTTATTTGTATTATAAGAAACGACCGCAACAACAACAGAGGAATGATACTCGGCAGCAAACGCAAGCTGAACATATGGACACAGATGATACCTGCCATACGTATGATTACAAATTGCAGCAACAACAGCACCATCTGCAAGTTGAATCTACAAATATTTATCCTAGATCACAGGCAGTAGATCGACGACTATTAGAGCCTACAGCAACGACCGCGGCAGCACACAATGGCTGTGGTCGCCGGTTGTATTTGGATGCGAATGCAACAACCAATATCGGTAGCTATGTCGCCTCATGTAATTCTACTAATAATAATTATATATATGATTCTAATGATATAACTAAAGCCTATGCTTTCACTACAACTTCTTTTATAACTACTTCTACTACTTCTACTCTACAAATAAACTCAAATTCTAATACTACCAAGCCTTCTATTGATAACAGTAATAGTGGAAATAATTATCTAGAGAATGTTATGAATAACAACAGTAACACAGAAAACAAGAACACTAATTTTACATTGTTAGCAAGTAGTCGCCAACATCTAAGCAATTTGTCTAACACTAAATATTCACATTATAAAAATTCAGCGACAAAACCAGTGCCGACACGCTATGATCTACACCGCATTCATCACGTTCGCCCACATATAAAAAACATAAACTCGCCTCCATATTTGCATCCAAACTCACAATCACAGAACCATCAGCGCCAACATATGGACCAAAAACGATGTTCAAATCTGCCCAGTCACTACCATTCGACCGATTCCGTGCGTTATTGCTATGTAGACTTGGATGTGGAAATTGTAACCGAGCCGCCAATGCCCTCATCACGCTTATACCACAGTCCGCGAAAGCAAGTATTTACTGCAAGGCGTTGTAATTCATCCATCGATCTCTATAAAGTTGACGGTGATGGTGTCGAAGCCAGCAGTGATATCGATCATAACTATCTAACATACTCGCTATCGAATGATCACCAAGAGCCGGCACTTGATGAAAGTGCAGTATCTGCGGTAACTATTCGCCCGGTATCTTCTGAAACATATTCTGTCTCGACTGGTTTTTTGACTGCGTTGGATACCTCTGTCGCGACTGTTTCTACGGCAGGGGCAACTGGTGAAACTGGCCGTGACTGGCCACTTGCAGCGGCTGAAGAAGTAGATTTTATCCCTACATCCCGTTTTCGGCAGAGTACACCGCGTATTCAACGTCGTCAACAGCAAATGCGTCGGCGGCAACGTTTTTCTTCTACATCGACGCAATATCAGTCACTCAACGCAACGGGAGAGAGCAACCTAATATCAACGACGGAGGACGGTGGAAACGGCAGTGGCAATGGCAGGAACACACGTACTGAAAACGGCAGTCATTTTGTTACAATCATCTTTAATGTTCTAGACTTCTTATTTTAATGCAATTTCATATGTATGTGTTTTATTATAAGTTACCTAAATATTAAGATTGCTTTGGCGCTTTTTTATAAAACTTTTTATTTATTTATCTTTTATTTCTGAGTAATGCAATTAATGTTGTGATTAACGACAGTATTGGTTGGTTTACTGTGTAGAATATTAACAAGGCTATATATTTAATTGTTTAATTTGTGTTTGTGCGGATATATTGATTTGTTACTGTGCAACTTGATAATTTGGAAATATGACAACTTAATTTAAAAGCTAAAGCGCAATTATAGAAAAATCCATTGTGAGAAGAAAATTGCGACATCAATTAAAATTTGCCCCTCACATTTTTGCCAAGTGTTTGGTGAAGCTTCTTCTCAAATTCGTCTTAATGTTGTCTCAGAAATGGTGGGACTTTTAAGTTTTCGCTGCCTGCCAAGGCGAAATGGTTTTCAAGAAAAGCTATTTCATGCTGTTAGAAAAGTTTTTCAATTATATCTTGCATAGACCGTGAATTTAGATTGAACCTGGGTTCTACAGAACGTTTATACGCATCTCAACATCTTGGATTCGAGGACCACACATTTTTTAACTGGTAACAAAAATTGTAATAGAAAACAATTTAGATCAGTGAATCCACCAGGTGTTGTCGTCAAGCTCAGTTTACGGTA